CGAGAAGAATATCCTCCCCACATGTCGTCGCCCGTACCTTCTTGGAAACTTTGTACTGCTACAGCATTGGGTGCCACCACATGGAATCGAAGGGCGTTGGAGAAACTCTCGCCTACTTGGAATGGAAGGGGGCTGAGTACCTAAAGAAGATGGAATATCCAAGTAGGTCACCTGACCTGAATCCCCTCAGTTACCCGGTTCGGGCGGAGTTCAATAGGGTGGTCTACGGTGGCGGAGAAATCGACTATCTCGCTGATCTCAGGCACCACATCGCGGTCGCGTGCCAGAATCTCTCGATGGCGCTCGTCCAGAAGGCGGAGTGTCATAATAGTATTTAATATGCTCTTTAATATGGTGGTAGAAATGTCCGATCAGAATTTATAAAGTGTAACTTATAGCGCCACGAAAGTCAATGAAGAAAAGTGACTTTTTTTGGCCCCCTCCCCTCTATATAGCTCACTTAAATCAGGCGAACAGTGAGCAATCAACAGCTGAAGCCCAAGAAAAACCCATTTTTCTCATCAAAGGTTAATACAACCCTCCTGCCTCCACCGACCCAAAACTACCCCTCGCTGGGGGATCCCAATACACGACGTGACCTTTTAACAGCAAAGTTGTAAGAAATGTAGTGATGGCTCTTAGTTACTCTTACCAAGTGATATCACCCACCGACGCCTGTCCCTTCCGCTAAATCTCTACGATTGGGTACCGTAAAAGCTGTACCACCTTGAAGGCAGCGACAGCGGCGGCAACGTCCACTGTCAGTTCTCATTACTTTCTGTCTCTCATCACTGGCGTTCTCGTCTGATAAAAGACAATATCAGCTAGAACCAACTTTTCACTGTTGCAGCGACGCCGCGTGCAGGAAAGTCATCCTCCTCAGTGGCTGTTCCTTTTCGATTTTCACCAAATTTCAAAACCCTCCGATGCCGTGATGAAAAAAAGCGAGATTTGTTCGTGGCTCCGCTCTGTTGTGCTGCTTCATGTTCCTTTTTAGGTAGTGATCACCAATCTGGAAGGATGCGAGAAAACGAAGTTGGCTGTTTTCACGTTCAACTTCCTTATAGAATATGTCCACTGTATGCAGGACTCGATATTAGCTTTCCACTCACACGGTGTTCAGGTTGGTATGAATATCGGGATTGTGGCGAATTTTTCGTTTTTCAATCCAGTTTGTCTATTTAGGGAAGGTGTTTAACCAACAATACAGTAACTCAAGACATATCGGACTTGTCAAAAGTCTACCGTGTTATTGGAAATGACAGGTACGTTTCAGTGACAATATTAGCCTGGCAAGGTTAAGGTATAATCAATAAATTCGGTCATGACGTTTGTCAGTGTTGCTCATTCATAGCCTTCTCGTTCCAGCGTCACTTTTATCCATTATCCTTGGAAGTCATACTTTAGCGCCTCTGTTCTTTGAATAGTGATACT